TAAAAGCAAACAAATATAATAATAAAACCACTTCAAAATAAAACACTGCTGTAAGTTATCATGTCTGCCTGATCATAATCTTTGAGGGTTATTTGACATTTTAACTAAGTCTGATTCATTTAAAACAGACGTGTCAAACTAGTTGTTAGTTAAATATAACGTTCTGGTATGAGTTAGTGACTGAAGAAACCAAAACATTTAGACATTATTTTTAAATATTACAAAAAATCTACTGGTCCTTTAATTAGGATCCATTCCTCCATCCATTATCTTTACCCACTTCTTCCTCTTCAGGTCATGGGGGTCACTGTTGTTCATATCCAGCAATCACTGTACGAGGGACGGAGTACACCCTGGACAGGTCTCCAGTCCATCACAGGGACACATAGAGACAAAACAACCATTCACTCTCTCACTCACACCTAGAGACAATTTAGAGTTACCAGTCAGTCTAACATGCATGTTTTTGGTCTGTGGGAGGAAACTGGAGTACCTGGAGAAAACCCACACATGCACAGAGAGAACATGCAAACTCCACCCAGAAAGGCCTCCGACTCGGATTTGATCTGGCGACTTTCTCGCTGAGAGGCAACAGCTTTACCCACTGCACCAACATGCTGTCCTTCATTAATAGTTTCTTAATTCATTGAAATGAGTCCAGCCAGGCCAGAGACTGACGAATATCAGAAGTAAAGAATTCCACCTTAACTGTTTTTAAAACCGAGGTCTCAGAGGTCATTTTGACCCAAGGGCAGCAGGAGGGTTAAAACTGTTCCACTACGTTGAACTCATCAATATGTGTTACTTTGAATAACATAAATGCTTAAAATCAAAATTAATCATGCAGATGTAGGTCCAGGTGTAGGTCCAGGTGTACCTGAAAAACAAAAAACCACACGTAAAGGATAGAAAAAATAATTACAAATACAAAACAGTTTGAGCAGAGTAAGTAAAGACAGTAGCAGAGTGAAAAGTGTGGTCAGTTTGTCCTCCCGCAGTCTAAGCCTATAGCAGCATAACTAAGGGACATGTTAGTATATGCCATCAAGAAAATTTTATCATTTAAGAAATCTCAATATATATGTTTTTACCCTATTGTTTAAATTATATTATACAGCTTGTATAATAATAATAATCGGTTCAATTCAAGGTGTGTCTGAACAGTTCTTTAAGTGTTTTGAGGTTTGTTAAATGTCTTTCTGCTGATCACGTCCTGGAACATCTGCGTGTCATCATCCTTGTCAGGAGGACGTGGTGATGTCGTCCAAAGATCTCAAACAGAACCAAAACATTTACAGGAAACTAAAGGCGGGGGCTCCTTTCAGGGCCCACAAACGGTGGATGTGTGGTTCTGCCACAGGGTGTCAGTGCTCGCCTGCTGCCGTCAGCAGCCGTTCCCTCTGATCCACAGAGGTGAGCTCCTTCAGCTTCTCGCAGCTGAAGCCAACATGGACCCTGTGCAGTCCCAGCAGGAGGTGTGTGTGTGTGTGTGTGTGTGTGTGTGTGTGTGGGGGGGGGTATTATCTGCAAACATAATTACAGCCCCCTGCTCTTTGTGTGCTGTTGGTGGTAGTGGGTGCTTTGGTGTAAGTGTGGGCACAGACATCCAACTTCACGCCTTCATTAAAACTTTGCCAAGTGTTTCTACAGCAACCGTTTCTTCTTCTTCTTCTACAACTGTCACCTCCTTCTCTGCTGCTCCTTCATGCCATGATCAACCTGCAGCTGCACCCGGGAGTCTTTCTCAGCTTCACCCCCCCGATCCTTCCTCCAGTGCCTCCTCCTCCTCTCCACGCTGCTCTGCGTGGGCGTTAAGCTCCGGCTCTACTTTCCATTTTGGTTCTGTATTGTCAATGCATTGTTGCATCCAATCCAGCGAGGATGCTGTGGGAATACTGTATAAATCTCTCTTCCTATACCCATCCTCCCCCCCTCCCTCCCCCTCCCATCTCTGGAAAAAGAGCCAGTTGCTAGGTAACAGTTAATTGTCAAGAAGTAGTTACATGTGTTGCAATGCATCCTGAGGTTGTTGGGTTGGTGCAGGAGCTGCGCGAGTGAGCAGAATAAACATTTTTCTCTCTGTTTTCTTCTCAAGGTGAAAGTTTTCTTCTTGAAAACACGAAGAACCCTTTTTGAACCACCTCACCTTGTTCTTCCATGGACTGCAGATGTTACGGCGCTCTCCCACTCGATCTGTGTGCAAAGCATTTGTACGTTTTCCCAAAACCTGCTGGTTTCTTTAAATAACTCCTGTTGCTGGACAAGGCTTCCACAGTAAAGAGTGAATGTGAGGAGTGAGGAGGTGGGTGGGTGGGGGGTGTGTGTGGGGGGGGGGGGTGCTCAGGTTGTGAAGCTTTGATCTGTGCTCGTCTGTTCACTTTGCATCACTTTTCTCTTCCTTCAGAGCATCCGTTTCATTTTGTACATATATTTAGTCCACAAGCACTCTTATCCAGCGTCGTGGAGTGAATCTGATGTGAGAAATGAAACCTGCACATCGAAAAACTAAAACACACGTACAAACTGAAAGACGAGAGCAATCTCCCCCCAATTCACCAATGATGGGGAAAAAAATCAAGATGTTTAAAGAATGGGTTTCAAAATAAAAATATCTGTTCTTTAATTTTTAAAGATTGTGTTTGATTTAAAAGAATACACACGAAACTGAATATTTTTACTGCCTTTGAACCAGTTTGATTTGGATGTTTCACATCTCAACAAACTAAACTCGTTAAAAAAAAAAGCAACAGACTCAGAAATAAAACTGTAAATGTTCTGTGAACGACCCTAAAATGAAAATGTCCAAAACACCACTCACTGATTTACTCGTGTGGGCAAAATCCGTCCCGAGGGCCAGAAGGGGCTCATAAACAATCCACTTCTGTCCCGAAAGTCTTTAAACAAAAACAAGACGTATTTAATTAAAAGAGTCAGCTGAGGTGGTTCAAGCTTCTGATCAAGGTGCTCCATCTGGAGGTTTACTGGGTACATCCCACTGGAAGGAGTCCCAGAGCAAACCCAGAACTTGCTTGAGGGATTATGCAGACTCAGTCCTGGGGCCATGTGGAACAGAGATATTGTGGAAAAGCTGTTCTTCCTGAACTTGTTGCCTCCGTGGATAAATGGCAGAAAATGGATTTCTGACGACAGTATTTAGACGTATCCTGATTCA